CTTTTTGTCTCCATGTGATTGTTCTTCTTATTAGATGCCATTGAATCAGTTCCACCTCACAGTGACCGTGTACAACAGAAGAAAGCTGCTCGCCCCCTGCCATCCTGAGAGTGGTTGTTACATTTGAACCCATTGTTGTAACCACGGAGTCAATCCACCTTATTGAGCATCTTCCTCTTTTTCACTGATCCTCTGCTTTAGCAAGCATGATGGCCCCCAAAGACCCGTCTCTCCTGCTAACATAAGACAAAGTCTCCCCATTTCGTGGTTCTAAGGAACATTCTGGCTGTACTGCTTCCAAAAGATTTGTTTGTTCTCCTGGCAGTTCCTGGTATTCTCAATATTCTTCAAGAACACAATCATTCAAACGCATCAAGTTCCCCTTAGACCTTGTCCGGCTTTCACATGCATATCAGGTCACTGAAACCACGACTGGAGTCAGGCTCCTCAGTCCTCAAGTGGCATCCCTGCTCTTCAACACTTTAAAGAGGTCTTATGCAACAGAGTTGCCCAAGGAAATGGGTCGTTTGATCTCTTGACTGCTGCTTCCATGCACATTGATAATGGGTCCAAGCAAGATGAGCTTCAGTCTTTTCTCTGTTTATTGTGATGTTGTCTGGTGGTCCAGTTGTGACTGTTTTAGTTTTGTGTGTGTAATGTTTTACTTTGTGTTTTGTTTTTTACTTTGAGATGCAACCCATACGGAAATGTAGTCTTCAATTTACCTCTACAGTTTTGCCTATTCTGGACATTTCAAAGAAAAATGGAATCTACAATATATGGGTTCTTGTGACTTTCACTTAACAATGTTTTCAAGATTGGTCCAAGTCGTAGCACCTGTCAGTACTTCATTCCTGTTTATTGCCAAGTAATATTCTATTGTAGAAGACATAGCACATTTCATTTATCCACTCATTCTTTGGGTTGTTTCCACTGTTTGACTGTTATGAACAATGCTGCTAGAACAATCCCACATAAATTTTTGTGAACATATATATTAAGTTCTTTGATTATTATTTTCTTAGGAAAACATCTGATTTATTGAATCCTTTCATAAAAGTATATTTTAGGCTTCTAAATATTCAATCATCTTTTAACACAATTTACATTTAGAATTCAAAGGGACCACAGTTAAGTCATGAAAAATAAAGTATAATTTAAGAAAAACATTCTAATGACCCACTTGCTAATAGCTTGTGATTATCTAAGGTAGCATGACATGATTACGTGAAATAACTTGAAACAATCTAGATCCCCTGCTGGTTTATGACTTAGCCACAACATGTGATGTTGCTCTTAAAAAAAGGTATCTTTTTCTGGATAAAACAATGACATTTTCTTTTTCTTGAGGTTTGCATCACTAGCATTTCACAACAGACAGTAAACCTGTTGGTACCAGTCAGTTACTTCTTGGTGAGGAATGTCCCCCCAAAACAGGCCTCCTTTCATTCAGGGGACAGACAAGAGACCTCTCAGTAGACTAGATGGTCACATTTTAAACAAAGAATTTTCCAACAAATACGTTTCCTGATGCCTTGGGCTTTTCTTTTGCATCTTGGCATCTCCACACAATAGCTTTGAGATGCCATCATTGCTACAAAGATACATCTAACTACCAAGTCCAGGCATAAAAAACTCTCTGGGTTATTTATCTGTTGTCCTAGAAGTAAGCTCCCTAAAAGTTTCTTGGCTGGACTCATCACTGAAAGGAGCCTTCTTGGATCAATGGTTGATAGCTGCTGACTCAAAGGTTGGCATTTTAAGCTCATTAGCCGCTCCACCAGAGAAAGGGCCTGGCAATATGCTCTCCTAAAGACGTCAGCGTAGGTTTTATGGGGCACTTCTACTCTGTCCTACAGGGCTGCTGTGGCCCAGAATCAACTTGGCAGCATCCAACATTAACAATCCCAACAGAAGCGGATTGCCAGCTCCTGCTGGGTGCGTTCAAATCCTTTAGTAGCCAAGAGCAAATTGTTTGCATGTATCAAGAGTGACTTTGTTAAGTCATAAGGAAACTCCATGTTTCACATTTTGAGAAACTGCTAGACTGTTTCCTAAGACTGCTGCACCATTTTACATTTCCATCAGCTATATATAAGGCTCCAATATTTTCACATTCATTGAATACCCTTGGCATTCTTCTTGAAAACCAATGAACTGTAAATACGTTTATCTCTGCACTCTTAATTCTATTCCGTGGATGTATAGATCTATGCCTCTACTAGTACCACAGTCTTGAATTACCATATTGTTTTACAAATAACTGGCAGGCACTTACTGATTATAGTCCCATAGGAAGCTAGCACCCAAGGAGGGTTGCATGGTTTGCATAATGTGTGCAGCGGTTATTTACATAGAAATATGGTATAGCTCTGTACTAGGTTTTTAAACCAGAAAGTATGGGTTCCAACTTTGTTATTCTTTTCAACATGGTTTTACCTATCCTGGGTGCCTCACCTTTGAATTTGAATTTTAGAATCAGCTTATCAATTTCTGTAAAGAAGCAATCTGGAATGTTGCGAGATGATAATGAATCTGAAGATCAATTTAGAGAGAATTGCCATCTTAATATTAAATCTTATGATACATAAATAGAAAATGTCTTTCCTTAGCTCTTGTGTAACTGCTTTCAACAATGTTTCATAGTTTTTGGAATATAACTTTGGTGTTCTTTTTATTAAATGTATTCCTAAGTATTGTATACTTTTGATGCTATTATAGATGGAATAGTTTTCTTAAATTCCGTCTCAGATTGTATAAGTATATGTACTATAATTGATTTTTGTATGCTGATCCTTTGAAGTTCCCCCCCCAAAAGCCCCCCAAAACTATTCATCTCAAGTTGGCAGTTTGAATGCACCCAATCACACCACAGAAGGAGGCTTGACCATCATCTTCCATAGAGATTACGGGCAGGAAAGCCCCCTGAAGCAGATCTACTCTAATACATGTAGTTTCAATGAGGCAAAACTGACTCATGCCAGTGCTTATTTTTGATCCTTTAACCTTGCTGAACTCAATTATTACACCTAATCGTTTTTCAGTGGTTTCCTTAGTGTTTTTTTAATATACAAATGATGTCACTGCGAATAGAGATCATTTCACTTCTCCAGGATTCACGGCATTGGCCTCTCTCTACAGAGACACAGGAAGATTCAAACCCCTGTCGCAGAAAATAAAAAAGGTCTGAGGAAGCATGACAAAAAAGAAAAATTAATCTTCCATCTCTAAGTTTCCTCTTTTCTGGGGAAAAAAACCTGCTTCCATGGTTTTAATTGCCGAGCATTAAACTCACTTTGACATTAATAGGACTATTTTAAGTGCACCATATGAAATGCAGGGTTTTTCATTTTTGGTTTTGAGGCTGCCTATAAAACTAGTTGAACTTTTAACCCTGATCTTTGGTGCTTTAAATGAATGCTAAGGTTTTAATTGAGAATTGTACTTTAATATATGAGTGACATTTTTGTAGTCTTAAAGAGTGAAAAACAAACTTACTGCATGGAATTGAAGCCCACTTGCAGCAGCCCCGTAGGACAGGGTATCACTGCCCTGTACCTTTCCAAGACGGCAACTCTTTTTTTTTTTTTTTGAAGGACTAAGTCTTTATTGGGCTCAGACCAGGAGTCCATGGGTCATTAGAACCTCAGTGTACTTGTTGATCTTTAAGACTGTAACTCAAAAAAACCAAAAAACCAAAATAACAACAACAAAAAGACTGTAACTCTTAATGGGAGTAGAAAACCCCACCTTTCTCCCACAGAACAGCTGGTTCATTTCAAACCGCCGACCTTGCAAATTTCAGCCCAACTAGTAACCACTCCACCACCTGGGCCCCTGGTGGACCGTCCCAAGCATGGCGGCATATTTAAACAAGTAAGTCTTGGTGATGCAATGGTGAAGCATTTGTCTGTGAACGAAAAGTTTGGCTTTGGGCTCCCCCGGCAGTTCCACAGGAGCTGAGACCTGGCCACCTGCCCCCATAGAGGATGCAGCCTAAGAAACTCTCCGGAGCAGGTACCCTCGATCCTACGTCCTCCTCTTCCTGCCACGGGCTGGCATTGGCGCCACAGCACGCAGCAGAGTGGAGCCTAGAGTTGACCAAAATCAGAGGTGACCCCAAGTGTCAAGCCTCACAAGAAAGATTTCAAGGACCAGAGTCAGAGAAAGGGTGTGCCCATCAAAAGTGGGTTAATTGGAGGGGAGACATTGGAAAGGAACGTCGACCTTATATTCCGCTAATGGCGGACCGCCCTGCATAGGCCGGCTTTCTGCTATTGGCTGGCCCCAGTCGTGTAGCTCCTCTTTGCAGGTATGTGCATCCCAGCCCCCCGACCCCCCCCATGCTGTGCTCTTATCTCGGACCCCAAACTCTTAAGACTGTGTCCGGTCATGGTGGGGAATAGTGTGAACATCCTGCGTTTTCCCCTCCAGCCTTCCCGAGCTCTGGTCCCTTCCATGGATGAGGAAATGTGTGGGCCCCTCGCCTTCCTCTGTGCCGGCGGCGAGGCTTGTGCCGAGTGCAGCGGGATCTCCACCTCCCCTCCCTGTTGGCTTCCTGCCCGATTCTGCCCTGTCTCCTCTCCTCCCCTTGCCAGCCTCTGACTCGCCAACCAGGCTGCCCCTTGTTTGCAGAACTCTGGCTCTCAAGTTCTGACTCTGAAATCTGTCCCTGTCTCTCATTTCCTTCTGTGGAGGAATACACACAGCATTTTCTAAAATAATCTCAATTCATTTTTGACCCAATAAATATACGCCCATAATTCCCATACCCCTGAACCCCAGATTCTCTCCCTAGTGACACCCAATACAAACAATGTGTAAGAATGTAGAGCTTCCCAAAGGAGCCCTGGTGCCACAGTGGTCCCATCAGGAGGTTCAAACCCACCAGCTGCTCCGTGCACGGAAGACGAGGCTGGCTGCTCCCACACAGACTGCTGGTCTCAGAAACCTCTGGAGCTGTTCTTGTCTGTCCGGTAGGGTCATCGGGCGTGGGCATCCACTCGACAGCAGTGGGTTTGAGAGTTCCCTTCTAAAGCTCATTTAGACTGTCCCTGCTCTTGCAACACTGTAAGCAATACTGTCATGGATAACCATGTCTGCACATTATTTCCTCTATCAGGTGGGTACACTCCCAGAAGAGAAATTGCTGGGCCAAATTGCCTGCCACAGAGGCTGTAAATTCATCTAGTTTCTAGGCAAGGCCGTTTGTAGAAGTCTGAAGTGACCTGTTTCCCCTGGCCCTCACCTGCACACTGCCTGTCATCCACACACCTGAAGTGATGGCAAGAATGACACCGGGGTCCAAATGCAGCTCACCTGCCAGAAGCCCCTGAGACCAATGCCCTCTGCAAGGTCGTCTGAGGACAGTCCATCAACCCGGAGACTCAGCTCCCCACAGTGACTTGACACAAAATTCAAAGTTGCCTGGTAGAATCACAAAATGTTGAGGGTGGAAGGTCCCTCACCTTACCCGAACTGACCCCCTCCCTTAAGAGAAGTAAAAGCTTAACAGAGATTTTGGCTGAAGATAAAAGGCCTCAGCCAGCACATCTAAATAAAGAGCACTTTATAATCAAATGCGGTATTCAGCCGGTGCTCACACCTCCCATTCACTATCCTGCCATCTGAATCACTCTCTTGCTGCAGTTGCCCCTGGAGGAAAAGCAGCCCGTTTGGCCTGGCTTCCCCAGGAAAGGACTCCTGTCAGAAAGGCAACAATGGGAAGGCGGCTGCCTGTCCCCAGAGAGCCGCAGGGTTGTTTTCTGCCTGTTGTTGTCTCTGCAGTATCTTGGAAGATGGTACGAAATCGAGAAGATCCCAGTGAGCTTTGAGAAGGGAAGCTGCATCCAGGCCAACTACTCACTAATGGAAAACGGAAATATCAAAGTGATCAACCAGGAGGTGAGGTAAGTGGCTGTGGTTTTAAAGGTGGCACACATTTCTGAGGCAGCCCGCGGAGTGCTGTCCTGGAGTGACTGTGTGTCCTCGCAGACCTGTTCAGGGAACTCACAACAGGCTGGAGATGAAGGCACTCCAGGGCAGAGGCTGAGCACCTATTGTGTACTATAGGGGGGGGGGGGTGTACTGTAACCCAACAGAGTTTCTGTCCTCACTGCAAAAAGCCAACAGGACATGAGGGACCATCTTGTCTGACCTTGCAGCCAACAGATGCCCCTCTAGAAGGACAACCAGCCTTGAACACTTCCAGAGACAGGGAGCTCATTGCCTTCCATGACAGCTTGCCACCTCTCTAGATAGCTTACACCAACAGAAATATTTTCAAGTTATGTGAACAGAATATTCTATCAGAGGGTACCTGTCTATGACCGAAGGTTTCTAACAGATGGATGTTTGTTCTACAAGCAACAACAAACTCACTGCCATCAAGTTGATGCTGACTCATAGCGACCCAGTAAGATAGGATAGAACTGCCCCTGTGAGTTTCAGAGACTGTAACTCTTTACGGGAGTAGAAAGCCCTGATTTCCCCCCATGAAGTGGCTGGTGGTTTTGAACTACCAACCTGGCAAATTACAGCCCAACACATAACCACTATGCCACCAAGATTCCTTGATATTACATCTAAGTAAACATAAGCTTAAAAGTAAGGAACCACAGTAAAGATGGCAGCAACAATAAAACAATGGTAACTAAAATTTATTAAGCATTTCTGATGTGCAAGGCCCTGCTCTGTGCAAATTTATATTATATACAGTTGACCCTTACACAACACGGTAATGACCCCAATCCCCCTGCAGTTGGAAATCTGCATATAACTTTTGACTCCCGGAAAATGTAACTACTTGTGTTCATCTGAATAGACTAGGGAAACAAATTCATGCAGACTCATATGTGTGTAAGAGAGAGTTTTATATCAAAGAGTAAATTGTAAATTAAGAAAACATCCCAGCCCAGTCCAGATTAAGTCCATAAGTCCGATATTAGCCCATATGTCTGATACCAATCTATAAAGTCCTCTTCAGACTCATGAAACACATGCAATGATGCCGAATGCAGGAAGATCATAGGCCAGTGACTTGGAAGTCTTGTGGATCCAGTGGCATTGTAAGCATCTCAGCAATGGCGTGGGTCTCCACATGGTTCCTTCATGTCTCCCAAACTCTGACTGCCTCAGGGTAGTTTCATGTGGCTTCTCCTCAGAAATGTCTCCAAGGGAGTGAGCAGAGAGAGTATCCCACCTCCAAGGAGGAAATCCAGGAGTTCCCAGAATCCTCAAGAGAATTCCATGCCCACACAGAGACCTCATTGGCTATTTCCTAATCAACAGGCTGACTCCACCCCTTCACTCTTAATCCTCAAACTGGCAAATGATTATGTAACTACCATACTACTGTTGGTCTATTATTGACCAAAAGGCTTACTGATAACATAAACAGTTGATTATCACATATTTTGTGTGTCATATATATTGCACACTCATTCTAGAAAAAAGGAAATAATATGAAAATCCTAAGGAAGAGAAAATACATATATATAGTCCTGCACTGTAGTTCTGGATACCGGAAGTTTATGTCACCTGTTTATAAGATGAAATGTTTCAGGCTGAGTAGCCTGAAGAGAAGAAGGCAGGGGAGGGCTTGGCTCATGGTCTTAAGGGCGGCAGGGATGGAAGAGATGGAAGGGAGGCAGGATAACTTTATGGAACTACATCATAGTTTCTGTCTGACTCTCTTTGGTTTCTCATTTCCCTAAAGTGTTTCTATTCAGTACCAATTCCTCTTGCTTACACGGTTTGCTTCCCTTTCGGTGCTCACCCCACAGAAGCATCCTGTCACAACAGAAGCAGGCTTGAACCCCTGGAGCCCTTCTGCTGCATTGTCTGACGTTAGCTTGTTCCTGGCGTTGCTTCTTTCACGACACACGCGTCTCCGACACACGCGTCTCCGCCAAGTTGATCCCTCTGTCAATTCTGGTGTTGCGGTCTATTCGCTCTTGGATTTCTCCAAGATCCCTGTCTTGAAACCCTTACCCCTCCACCCCCACCTTTTGTCTTTCTTTTCTTTTGTGGCCATGCCCATCATCTCTTTCATGATCTTCTTGATTAGCTCTGTTGTAAATACTGTGACGTCACGCACATCTAGACAGTCTTCTTCAACAAGACTGGGTTATGTCAAGCTTAATGGCTTTCAGATCTTTTCCCACGTTCTCTCTATAGGGATTCTCTTTCATAATGTTGACGTTCCTTTCCATGGAGTAAAGCAGGTCATGAGCCTTGTGTTTGGGGGCACGTAGACCATTTTGATGCCTTTGGTGTTGAACTCATGGGGTTCTTGGTAGTAACCAGGGGCATCATCCAATAGCAAAAGAACTTTAAAAGGCAGTCCCTCCCTGCAAAGTATTTCCTAAGTTGAGGGACAAAGCATTGATGGAATTAATCTGGGAAAAGGGTTGTCATTGTCTAGGCCTTCTTGTTGCACCACCACAGATTAGTGCTTGTCTTTTCCCTGCAAGGTTTAGAGGTTACCAGTTTTATAAATAAAGTCATTAACTGCCCTGCATGTACCTAAAGCAGCAGACTTAGCCTTAAATCCGGTATTTGCTTCTCTTACTCACAAAACTGTCTTTTGTGGCACTCCCCCCCCTCCCCCCAACTGTTATTTTCATCTGCATTATTTCACCTGTTCGGGCCAATATCCTTCCTCCTGGGTTATTTTCCTAAAGGTGTCTGGAAACTTGCCTGCTATTTCTGGATCAGCAGCAGCTTCTCCTGTTCCCATGTCATTTTAAAGGCAGATTTACGGCTAAAACGATCAAACCATCCTTTGCTGACACGTATTCTCCCGCTTTAGAGCCTTCAATTTCCTTCTCCTTTGCGTTCTCATGCAATGACTTGGCTTTTTCTGCATCCTATTAGCGTCGATAGGGACTTTGCTACAGCAATTCTGCACCCACACAGAAGCTGCATTTTCAAGATGAGATTTAAAAAGAGATTTTGCTGGATGTGCAAGGTTTCCAGGTTTTCATGCCTACTAGCATAGCCTAAGAGAAAACTTTGTGAATTCCTTTTTCTTTTTTCACAATGGTCCTTACTCTGGACTCATTTATCTGGAAGCGGGGGTGGGTGGTGGTGGTGGTGGGGGCAACCACACCTGCAGACCTCAATCTGCCGCCCATATCAAGCATTGCAATGCTTTCTTGTGACATTGTGTCTTTTTCTCTGCTTCTTGGGAGCACTGCCAGCATCACTAGTGGCACATCCTATGGGATCCCTGGTGTTATTCGAAGCTTGCAGTATTACAGCAAACACCATGAAAAATACACATGGACTTAAGAGAGGTCACTGACGCACACACTATAGCAGATAGACAGCTGTTCACAGAGCTAATCAGTGCTGCACAGTGGTTTGTGGCTTACATGGAAACTCACAACACTGGAGCTCACCACATAGCAACAGACGGGGACTGTGAAATTATTACAATAGTACAGGATGTACTAGAGTTAATGTCACACAGTTATAAATTAATAATGCATCTTTATATTTTATATTCATCTTGACTGCAAGTGACACATGTACACAGCCTCTGTGTGCATAAATCCCAAAATTTCACTATAGATTTGTGTATATTTTATAGTAGTAAGTTATAAAATAGACTAATATCTACATATAGTTTGGGATTTTGAAAGATTTCTAGGCTACAGAGCTTTTCAGCCATTTTTTTCCCATTTGTTGCCAATCTTTTAAAAAGATGTTCCAAGATATTGAAATCCACATACAAGTATATCCACCCCCATGTTGCTCAAGGGTCAATATAAGCATATGTATATTTATGTATAAAACCAGTAAGATTGGTGCTATTAATTCACCCCCTTTCTGTAGGTGACGAGATGGAGGTAAACAGACAGGCTGAAGTAATTTGCTCAGAGATCAAATTACGGAAAGTGATGAAGCCAGACTTTCCCAGGGAGAAACGGAATAGGGAAGACACATAGCACAAGGAGGCATTTTCTTGGGCTGAGCATGAAGGCTTGCCCTTCCTTCCCCTCCGCATCTGGGAACTCTTTCGCCTCCAAGAAAACAGCTACAGCCCAGGCTGGACGTTTTGTGGACTCGGGGAGACTTTTGATCCACTAAGCTTCCTATGAACCACAGCACACTGCTTGGCCTGCAGAAGCCAGAGAGACTAGGTAAGAATCTTGAAGACCTTCAGGGAAACATCCAGCTCATCTCAGGAATTGGCAAAGGTTCCAAGGATTGACATGCAGACATAACAGAAGATTCCATGGGAATTTTCTAAAAGTTACAATGACCTCATTCAAGTGTTTTGTACCAAGAATCAGACGATGACACGGATCCTAAAGTCCAGAGACTCCCTGGCTCCCTGGGGGAATTGGCCAGAATTCCTCTTAACTATGTTCAGATTGTTAGTCTGAGAAATTCAGTCACGCTGTCTGTGGACTTGTACCTGTTCATGGCACAGAGCGTCTGGGGAAAGTTTTGTTCAGAGAAATGGTGTCATTTCTTCTTCTTGGAGGACTCAGAATGAACAGAAGGCATGACAAGGATTCTGAGCAGGCCAATGTCAGAGACTTGGACGGCTAAAGAAGCTGGCATGGGGGGTGAAAGCCGAAGGGCTCGGGCTCTGGAGTCAGAGTCTCTGGCTTCAAACCCTGTTTCAGTCACTTCATATCTATGGGACCTGAACTTGGTTAATTCCTTAGTCTCCGAGAATTCATTTCATCATCTACAAAATCACTATAATTATAGAGCATACCTCCATAGATCAGGCTGTCTGAGAAGTAAATGGGCTGATATATGTAAAGCACTTAGAACAGTGCTGGATACGTAATAATCATTTAGCAAATATAAGCGATTATTCATTTGCTGCTACTCTTGACAACGCAAGCACCATTTCCCATGAACGAGTTGTGAGTTTATGATCAGAGACTGATATTTTGAAAACTCTTCAGGAGCAGAACATAAATGATGGTTTAAAAACAAAAGTCGGAAAGAGATAGGTTTGTTGCTAAGTTACTGCATGCATAAACAAATCAGCCACCTCTGTGTGGTGCCTGAGTTCCAAGTGGAACAGCAAAGTGACAGACACGGCCTGACGGACAGACACTGCCAGGGCACAGTGCAGTCCCAGCCTCCCTCACTGGGTCTGTCTCCAGGACATCTGTCACCACATGCGCAGTCTCCTGACTGTCGGGGACACACTGGCGCTCTATGTTTTAGCTTCCTGAGCCTCCCTTCCCCCAGATTAATGGACAGTTTCTTGGAAGGGCACCCTGAAGCTGTGCACCCTCCTGTAACTGCTTCCATCCCGAGGCCCCTTGCTCACCCCCTCAGACTCCTGGGCCATTAAGAATTATGCAGAAACAGGGCCAGGTGGCTTTGATAAAGTGAAAGCTATTTCTTTTCTTTAAAAAAAAAACATTTTACTGGGGGCTCGTACAACTCTTATCACATTCCATACATACATCCATTGTGTCAAGCACATTTGCACATTTGTTGCCATCATCATTCTCAACACATTTTCTTTCGACTTGGTATCAGCTCCTCATTTTT